TAGGAGAAAAGTTGTTTGCTGGGAATATAGTTTTCATTTATGTCACTTTTCATTCCCTTTGTGTTATTTCAGAGTTTTCAGCGCTTAATACGAAACCTAGAGTTTGACATTATGACTTTAAAAAAAGAACACAGCAGAATTCATTTGTGCATCTCATTAATCCCCACAAACTCCTCGTCCTCATCCTAATGGAGCGATTGTTCGGTCTGGCTCCGCCCTCTTTTCTCTCACATGGACAGAAGAGCTTCCTGTTGACGTTCGTGCGTCCTGACAATAGATACTGATAGCGCACTCCGAGTTTCTTCAGGCGTTTCGATAGAAAACACAACCCGATAAGGTGTTTTAGACGGTCAATAAACCGTCTTTCTCTCGGTATGGCGGAGGCACGCGCTGAAGAGGACGAGGAGCGCTTGCGTGAGTCCGGCGGCGCGAGACGAAGAGCAGGTAGGCGCGACACAACAAACAAAAAAATAAAAAAAACACAAAAATACACAAAAACCCGTTTTTAACCAGCGCAGACCGCCATAACATGACCATTAAGTTCGTTCAGCAAGGAATTTGTGGGTTGAAATGTATAGAAATGTAGCCTTTATATTAGGTCACGTATACCACTTGTTTTTAGTTCATCAGCATAGTGAAAGTGTAAATATCTGTGCATTAAATTAGATTAATTTGCACCATAATAATGATTAAATAATTAGGAATTTATGTATCTCATGTCCATTTGATGATTTATTGAATTGTAGATTAAATTAATGTATGCATGTTTTGTTTTAGGTCACATACCTTTTTTTTGGTTTTGTTTAATTTTATTTGATTACATTTCTAAAATCATTTGTAAACATCTTTAGTTCATGTGTAAATATTCCACGAGGTCATAATAGTCATAAAATAATTAGTACAATTATTTAATGATATGAAAATAAATAAATAGAATTAATTGAATTATTACTTTGTTCTTAGGTTTATGTTTAGGTCATGTACCTTTTTTTTGTTTGTTTTATTTCATTGTTTAAACTGCACATGCACAATAATCATGAAAATTATAATTGTTATAATGTAAATATATATATATATATTTAAATGTAATATAAATATTATTTATAAGAGGCATATTATGTCTGCTCATTGTCGTGTAGTAGTGTAAAATGAAGTAAGTGTATTCCTCATAGACGGATTGTTGTTTCCTCTTTATATAATATGAAATATGAATCTGCTTTATCTTGGTCTGAAACAAGCATGTGAATTTCAGTTTCGCTCCTGTGGCTCAGCTTTATTTCCTCGGGGGAATTTCTCACCTGTGTGTGAAATGACAGGCATGAGGTGCGATCTGACCCCCAGTAATCGTTAAATAAAACTACAGCGTCTCCGGGATGCCATGCATGAACACAGAGACGGTTTGGAGAGTATTGGAGACTTTAGCAGCTGAAGCTGCAGCTCTAACTGTGTCATGTGACTCGCGATCATGTGATCATGAACACACACACACACACACACAC